ATGAAGTACCTTACAGTAACCGACATAATAACGTTTTTGTCAACAATTGGTTTAAAACTAATTTTGAACTGTGACAGTGTCGGTAGCGCCAATAATATGAACAAGCTTTCGTCATAAAACCAGTAATTTTGGCTGCATTTTGCATCATATAGCGCCATGTGAAGGCCAATTTAGACCACACAAATTTTGTTTCATAAAACTGTCGCATGCAACCTGCTCAAGTCCACAACTCACTTAGGCAAGTTGTATGTTGATTTACACAGTACAACTCAAGTTGTAAGTAGTAGGTTGCATGCGACAGTTTTTGGAAAAATAAAGTCACCATCTTTCTCAACGGCCAGTTTATAATAGTTTATACCTGTAAACCACATATAAATCATAAGTATTCTCTAGTTATAATCAGTCCGCGTATTTTCAGTTCTAAAATGTTGTATTTCGGCTGATGAGAAAGATCGTGACTCAATCTTTACGACCGTTACGACCATATGGAAACCAGACTTATGGAAGCAAAAACCTTATGTTTTGTCATGTGTTGAAGATTAGCACAAACCGATACAAACACAATTTTAACCAGTCCCCCCAAAACGTCGCTTGCTTCTTAAGCTCCCCTATTGATTGAAACAAGGAATAAAAAAACTTAGCTCCCTATTGATAGAAACAAGGAATAAAAAATCTTAGCTCCCTATTGATTGAAACAAGGAATCAGAAAGCTTAGCTCCCTATTGATTGAAACAAGGAATCAGAAAACTAGCTTCCCTATTGATTGAAACAAGGAATCAGAGAACTTAGCTTCCTATTGATTCAAACAAGGTGAATGAGAAAACTAGCTCCTTATTGATTCAAACAGAGAGTCAGCCTGCATGCGTTGGCTAGAAATTTCCGAGTAAGACAGAAAAGAATCAAATACAGGGGGGTGCGGGGCCATAGTTGTACGAAAGCCAAATATCAAGCGGATAGTGATTTTTTCAAGCATTGACTGGTATAACCCAGACTAAACTCCAGTATTCACAAAATCAAATTTTCTTTATTAAATTGTCCATATCTAGAGTTTCTACCACGGTGAAAACAATAACTATCCGGTAGCTATCCGGCCTTCGTGCCAATAGGCCCCCAGTTCAAAAGAGGCCCCCAAAGCGAGGAAGTCCTTAGAATTCCTTGATACAAGATTGCTTAACCGAATATATAAATTCTGAGTTTGACTAATGGTCGCGGGTCGCGTCGTCGCGGGTAAGAAGTCGCGTGTCGCGGGTAAGAAGTCGCGTGTCGCGGGTAAAAAGTCGCGGCTCGCGGGTAAAAAGTCGCGGGTCGCGGGTAAAAAGTCGCGGGTAAAAAGTCGCGGGTCGTAAAAAAGCTCCAAACCGTGTATTTTATTGAGTTGCGGGTTGAATAAAGTGTGTAAAAATCACATTATCATTTAGTTATTTAATGGTTTTTATCAATAGTATTATAATACTCCAATACCAACAATATGGCATCCTATGGTATTACGTTATATTTATAATGTCTGCAAACGAAGAATGCGTTTTTTCATTTCTGCCTTTTTAATTCGGAATAATTTGCATTTACAATTATAATATTTGCAATTGCGTTGTGTAATACGTTCAGTATAGGAGTCAAGTTTAAATGTTTATCCTGTTGTCATACCACAGAACGGCTGGTGTTATGTTACGTACTTTCTGAATTAAAACCACCCTTTAGTTTATACTACTTCGAAGGCTGGAGGGCAGAATATTCGCTGGTTCACAACTACTCGTGAACAACGCATTATAACGTCTGTTAACGCATTATAACGCATTATAACGTCATTACAACGCATTATAACGTCTGTTAAGAAATAATGCCTCGTGAGATGAGAGGCATTTCACAAGATTTTGAAGCGAATACGTTGACGCTCTGCGCTGTTTAAACTTTAAATCTGTGACTTTATACTTTAAGATTATGACCTACAATCACGCAAAGAATCTACACTACATTATTTATAGTTCAAAAAATGAAGATAAACCAAACATTAATTTGCCAAGTTAAAACTGTACTCGGTGCGTCAAAAGTGCTTTACAACTTCCGTAGGAGAAACAAAGCTTCGTGAGGGAAAAGATAATGTATTATCTAAAAAAACCTAAAAAAGGCTCCCCATGCATTCTTATACTCGTGCAGCGGCCAAATGCCTGGCACGAGTAACAAGTAATAAAACTCTATATTCAATATTTTAAATAGAAAAGAAGTGTATTAATTTAATGTGTTCCAATCAGCATTTTTTTCGTGTTCCCTTTGGCAATAATTAAAGGGTGTCCGGGATAACGCCAGTCGGCTGTGCTCATCTGGGCTCGACTTAAATATCCAGGTTGTTGGTTAATCATACTGTACTTTTATAATGTAGGGCATGGATATATCTATTATTTGTGATACTATATGGTTGTTTTTAAATTGGTATAAAACTAATTGTAATAGTAGTGGTAAACTGAATTTATTTGTGCCAAAGTCTTGTTTGTTTCTTTCAGAACACATTTTTTGATTACAGGATTTTTGTCATTATATAATTTATTCTTTCAGGTTTTAGGCTTCTGGCACGTTTATATAAAACCATTAAATCATGACAAAAGGCTCTTTGGCAATGTTTTGTAATGAAGCAATCCGATATAGTTGTTTACTAAATGATAACGTGATTTTTAAACACTTTATTCAACCGGCGACTCAATAAAATACACGGTTTGGAGCTTTTTTACGATCCGCGACTTTTTACCCGCGACCCGCGACTTTTTACCCGCGACCTTTTACCCGCGACCCGCGACTTCTTACCCGCGACCCGCGACTTCTTACCCGCGACCCGCGACTTCTTACCCGCGACACGCGACCCGCGACCATTAGTCAAACTCGTGGCCAAACTAGAAAGCGTGAACTTTGCTGGCGTCAAATATCAAGGTGTGAAATTCACTAAAGTATAAGTTATTGTTCGGAGGCATATATCATTGCAACAACATTAGAAAGCTTATAGTATAGTATTTACAGAGTCTCTCGAAGTTCAAGCTTGCGCGATGCCGACTTCGGTGACTTTTCTACTGCGTTTGCGTTTTGGCTTAGACGTTTCCTTACCAATTGTATTTAACCGCAAGAGGTCAGACTGACAATTTGAGTCAATCATAATTACAAGTTTCGCGCGAAGCCATTCAGTGGTCATAGCATTTTCCCCTATATCTCGGTCGCTTTTTAACATTTTCTTAAAAAAGTTGCTGGAATTGAGAGATATATCATTACTTAATATAAATATATAAAAAAATTTTTTGACAAAATCAGAGTCTCATCATATATTGTAACCTTTTTATAGGCCATTTAATACATTCGACAAATTTAAGGTCTGTCTCATACCACACAGTGTCGTCGGTTTTAATTCAAACAAATTTAAATTAATTGAACGAATTATTAAGTGCGGCGCTAGTGCGTCGTATGAAATGAATTAAATTCGTTCGAGAAGTTTTCTCCGATATGGTCAGACATACGTCTCTTGCGCGCGTCTTCGTTTCATATATGTCGTATGACTCGTATCGCAATGAATGCATAAATTGTTTCTGTTTCTATCCAATCCATGATTGGTATCATGAATTGAATTCGTTGTTTGAAACGGAACCATTGATTTTGAGCTCGACCAATCGATAACTATAGTACTAACGAATTAAATTAATCTCAATTAAATTGGACGTATGAAACCACGCACTATATACTTTCTAAACGTCGTATACTATGCGACGTATGAAACAGGCCTTAACATATTATCCTACCTTTTGACTTGTTGCCTTGCAATAAACCGCCATTCAATAGATTGATACTGTATTGATGATATAGCCTCTAAGAGCGATAGCATTTAGGCTGTCAATACAGATCGACATTTACAATTATACGCAAATCACTCTACACCGGAATAAGCCAATAGGAGTAGCCACGGGTCAAAAGTGCGGATATTAATTGCAAAGAAACCTGTCAACATGTTTCGCGTAAAAACAGACATCTAATGTTACGGGTTCATCCTCAGATGCCAGCAACGACGTTATTGATTTATTTAATAAAAACATAGAACTTCTAACACGTTTGGCAGCAGCAATATCAATATACGGTAGTGCAGTAATATATATAAAGCGTTATATCGCATAACGAGTTCAATAGCAGTCGCCAGAATAACAACTACTACCTTCCACCTTCCACGCCCACGTACGAATTGGGGAAAACAGCAATTCACTTATCACTCGGTATCGGAATGGAACTCTTTACCTATTGAACTGAAACAATCTACTAATCTTAATCTCTTTAAATCCAAACTAAAACAATTTATCTAATTGGCAACAAAACATTTTATTGATTTTATTGCTTCATCTGAAGGAGCATGAAAAAATAAGCCGATTGGCCGTTTACTGCTCTATTCTATCTCATCTGGTTCCGAAGTTATACGCAAAAATGTGAAAATATAAATTGCTGATTCAGCACATTCTGTGACGTCATAAGCTGGGTAAGTATGTTTATTGAATAGTAAACTAAAGCATAGCTGAGTTATTATTGGCTCAAATCTAATGAAATTTTGCATACAGATAGTACATGATGAGATGCATGGGAAATATACTTTCGTTGTCAAGGCAACACAGTCGTTCCCAGGCCTCTTACACTGATTTTGAATAACTAGTTACATTTATCTATGTGTATGTCATTTTCGAATTATTATCATGCAAGTAAACTTTTGGCATGCATAGGTATCATACACATACTTCTGATATTATTTTATTCTTATCAGTACCTTGAATAAAGCTGTTTCATAAAATTGGTGCAAGGGGTCTGGAAACGACATTGTTACCTTGGCAACAAAATTAGAAGTGTTTTTCCATGCGTCTCATCATGTACAATCAGTATGCAAAATTTCATTTGATTTGGGCCCATAATAACTGAGCTATGCTTCAGTGTAGTATTCAATAAACATACTTACCCAGCTAATGACGTCACACGTTGTGCTGAATCAGCAATTTATATTTTCACATTTTTGCGTATAACTTCGGAACTAGATGAGATAGAATAGAGCATTAAACGGCCAATCGGCTTATTTTTTCATGCTCTTTCAGATGAAGCAATAAGATAGATGAAGCAATTTTTGTTGCCAATACCCTTTAAGTTGAACAATTTATCTAATTAAGTTGAGTTTTTTCTAACTATGAAGTATAATTAAATATAATCCACTTGTAAATATTTCATAGTTTATAAATAAGCATAGACGTATAGTTTACGAATACCATGTATAATATAGATATATATTACAGGACCTCCCTTAAAAAACACCTCGGTGAGTGGAGCTTCCTGAATAATTATTATTATTATTATTATTATTATTATTATGGCAGTAAGTAGATGGTAATGGTTTATTAATCACATTTCAATATAGTATACAGTGGAACCCCGTGGACGTATTAACGGGGTGAGATCAAATTTCAATTGTGACGTCATTAAAGCTATGTTTATTCGAAAATCACAATAACACTATTTTACCAATCGTAAGTAAAATAATGGAGCGCATAGTTCACAGACAAGTGTACGAGTACTTACAAGAGCATGATCTAATCACTTCAGAACAATTTGGTTTTCGCCCTAAGTTATCCACAAGCATTGCTTTGACACAACTCACTGAGGAAATCTTGCACAATCTCGACAATAAATTGGTTACAGGTGCAGTTTTTATCGACTTGCGAAAGGCGTTTGACACGGTAGATCACGAGCTGCTAATTTTGAAATTAAGAAATCTTGGTTTTTCAAAGTCTGTCATTAACTGGTTCACGTCCTATTTGTCATCACGTACAGTAGTCACATCTATCAACAATTCAACATCGAGTGTAAGACCAGTCACCGTTGGTGTGCCGCAAGGAGGCATATTGGGCCCGTTACTTTTCTTGATATTCATTAACGACTTGCCTCAATGTCTTAATAACTGTAAGTCGATTCTTTATGCTGATGATACATTAGTAGTGAAAGACCCCCATCTGGGGACGGAAGTAATTAGTATGCAGGGCAGGCCTACTGTGA